CTCCCTGTGGTTCACAGAGGAGTTGAAACAAGATGAAGAGAGGTCTAGAGGATTGCTGGCATTCAACCAAGGATGAACGTGACTGAACATGGGTTAGAACCCCAATAAGGCCTACTTTGTGGAGATAAGAGTGGCAAAGTGGCTGAACTTCTCCTCCCTTCTTGCATCTGCAGATTCTCACCCTGCAGCTCTGTTTCAGGTAATGTGAGCCCTCTTGGGTAAAGGGGGCTCAGGGAACTTTTTGCAGGGGTGTGCCGAGGAGTTTGCTCAGCATCTGTTGGACAAAATCGCTCAGATTACCACACAGCTGGATGCTGGTTTTCTTACAGGTTCAGAGGAGAGGCCTATGGAGGAGTCCTGCCCAGTGATCTGGGAACAGTTTGAACTTGTTTGACCTGAGGAAGTAGACAAGGTCCTTAAAGCTGTGAGCTCAGCCATCTGCTTTTTAGATCCGGGCCCCTCCTGGCTTGTGAAAGCGGCCTGGGTTGTGTGTGTTTGTGTCCTGAGAGTAGGTTCTAGTGATGATTAATTCTTCTTTGAGTGAGGAGGCTTTTCCTTCATCTCTTAAAGAAGCCTTTGTTTGCCCACTTCTCAAGAAGCCATCACTGGACCCCACTATACTGGACAATTTTCACCCAGTCTCTAACCTCCCCTTTTTGGGGAAGGTGATTGAGGAGGTGGTCAGGATTCAGACCCGGGTATGGGACAGGAATGGCTTTGGTCATTCTTTTGGATTATCTCTGGCATGGGCAGAATAGGGGATGTGCGTCCATCCTTGACGTACATGACCTCTCGGCAGCTTCTGATACCCCAAGCTCTAATGCAGGTTGGAAATTCAAAACCAATTATGGAAGACAATCTCAGCAAACCACTCCTCTATAAGTGCAAAGAAAACAATAGGGTCTTGTCTTGGAGTTCACCCTGAACTGAGTTCTGCTTGAAGGGATTTCACTTGATCCCCAGCTCTACTGATTTCCCACTGGAGAGAATACCAAAGGGATAACTGTATGCTAGATGAATGTGAATGTGCCTCATTCCTGAGATGAGCTCAATTCATTCTTTCTACTCAGTTGTTGAATTTGGAGACATTACTTGCTTATATTTGTACCGTCAGTGAATTCATGCAAATGTTCCTGCTGTGGCTCCTTGTTATAGGGAGTGACCGAAGACACAGGGTCACATCAGCTTCAAATGACAGGAGTGACTTTCATACCTCCACTATGGAACTGAACATTTTGATATTTTTATTAATGATCTTTCCTACACATAAGGGGAAAAAAAATTAAACCATTTTGTAAGACAAGAAATGTGGGGGTTTTTTTGCATTTCCTCATACCCATTTCTCTTTTTGTTCCTTTCTATACTCTTGATTAAAGGGGACGTGGTGGCGCAGCGGCTTAATGACACTGAAAGTCGCTGGCCAGAAATGGTCGACACTTCAGCGGTTCGAGTCCAGCCTTCGCGTTAAACAGGGTGAGCTCCTGTTTCCTCCCCAGTTCCTGTCAACTCAACAGGTCGAAAACTCACGTGAGTAGATAAATGGGGACTCTCACTCCGATGGGAGGAAAAATGCTGGCGGGGGCTTGCAAAAAGGAGTCGGGAGCAGTTGCCGGTAAGCGCGAAAAACCGCACGCGCCTGAAAAGGGCGCAAAGCAACAGAAACCCCGCCTCCTGTGCACGCCAGCTGGGCTCTGCTCTAGGAAGGAGGCTCTGGCAAACCACTTCCGAAAAACAATTGCCT